CCCCCCCCCTCCCCCCCTGCCCCGGGTCTCGGTCATGGCCTCGGCCACACACACTAAGGGGTTAACAACAGAACTTCAGACTCTTTGATTCGTAGATTCAAACAGTGACTGCGAATAGAATTATGCTCTGTTAGAGAACAGTCGCTAATAAAATAAAAATTCACAAAAATACTTTTTACTTGAACTCTTTTATTAAGTCAGTTTTTTGTAGTCATCGTTTCCATACGCACAGTTTAAACTAAAAAATAAAATCCCTTAGAATAGCAATTAAATATAAATAATACTTGCCAACAAGCTGCACCAGAAAAGACACAGACCCTTCAGAGGAGATGAAACATCACGCATAAGTTTTTTCAAAGTTCGTTGCTCATTGTCAGTCTCAATCTTTTGCTGTCATTTTTTGCCTTTGAAGGTTTACTTCAATGTGAAGATACCGTTGTACACCGCAAAAAGTAAGTTGCTAAACTGCGCTATAGCCACAGAGAAAAAAATAGTGTCTCGACAATTCCAACAAGGCGTCGACTAACAGAGGTCTTTCCACATATACTTCTGTAACATTTAACATAACCCTGGAAAACGGTGATTGAAAATCCCTAGGAAAAGATACGTGGCTCTCTTGTTCTCTTTACCCTCTTGTCTTCCTTTGGAACTATAGTAAAGACGTCTCTCAAAGTAAGAGAATATAACATTAGGCGATGAACGATCAAATGCCACTCCACATAACGCAGAAGATTTTAACTTCACAGTTTTAATAGTTTTCTACGACTGAGTGGATACCTTGTACAAGGAATTAAGAGACGAACCTCTGAAATTTAAGGTTGTAAAATCTTCGGCATAAGTAAGGTCTCAAATGACTCTTTCAAATGTTATCTTGCTTATAACAGGCACAGTTTTCTACAGTATGCGGTAAAATTAAGTTTTATCGTTTTATAATAACTGACAATAATAATTTATTTGGGTTCAGTTCGTTTACTGGCTTTTCTTTGCGTCGCCGTTGACATCTTCGCTGCCTTCTACTTGAGTCTTTTCGCTTTCTTTCTTATCTTTCTCCGGGTTATCTTCATACCTGCGGTAGACCAGACAAGCTTGTTCACTTCTGTTCAGAATTATACATCAAGATTGTGCCACTGATTTGTTTCGCTAATCTCAATCAGCTAAACAAAAACAGTCGCTATACAGTGTATAACATGTGGATAGTTAAAGCTTGGAAGAAACCTTCGATAATAACTGGGAAAAAACGTAAAAAATAAATTGTGAAAAACTATAGCGGAAAACGGATCCTTTTAGTTTACTATTTCAATTACTGCCTCTAACAATGTAACTGATACTATATGCACGTATGTTTTATCTTTTAGCCTCGTTATAAAACCACTTCAACATGCACAGATACATCACGTTTAAAATAATGAAAATCAATAACAGAAAATTGGAAACATGAATTTTACACTGCATTAAGAGAAGACCCTGTGCGTTTTTTTGTCGTGAGAACCTTCAAGCCTAAACACTTTGATTTATTAACACCAAGTTAACAGAACTCCTTTTACATGCTTAACCGTTGATACACACTGAATCCTACTTTCAATTTTGGAGTTCTAAACAAGCTGAGACAAAAGACGAAAGGAAATAGAAAAGTAAAATACTTTCAACTCACTTGAACAACTCTGAAATTTCTCCTCTGATCAAAGCCAACGTGATTGGTGTTCCTAGACAGGCAGGCACCAAATACAGCAGGGCGGGTTGAGCAGCTTTGAAAGTGTGCATCACCAGAACGGTCATTACCAGGCCCACAAAGTAAGCGATGAAGCCAGAGTAGAAATACACCCGGCTGGCCTTGTCTTTCTTGCTGCTGTCGACGAAAACATGATGAGAAAACGTGTCCTACCTGTATTCCTTCGTCAATACATTGTACAACGCAAATGTAGGACGGTTCAGAAAATACATGTAACTCTTAATTTTCACAGTGAAACTGTTTCTCCTTCAGTCTGTAAATGTACAGTACAGATCTCTTATAATACATGTACTAACTGTGGTTTAAGCTTTCATCTGCAAATTACATCACACACAATCACATTTCTTTTGATTTGGTTCCAAAAAAGGTTAAGTAACGCTTGAAAGCCAAGTGCAGTGTAGTGTTGTTTTGACAAAGTACAGTACATTTATCAAAACTGCGCTAACAAGTCAGATATTGTCTCTTATTATTATTATTATTTTCTTTCAACGGTTGATATTTCTCAGACAATATGTCCATATCTATTTGAGAACGGATTGGTATTGCGAGGAGAAACTAAATGTTGACCGATGTAATTAGTAATTAAAGGATGCTATACTGCTATGATGAGAAACATAACACCTACCTGTGGTCAAACCTTAACAGAAGTGCAATAAATATTCCTGTTGAGTAAGAAAAAAAAAAACAATAACTCAAATTTGCATGTTTTCTCTTTTGCAGATCATAATCAGTTTATTCTCTTACTTACATTGTACACTAACTGCAAATACATTCAGCGTTTGTCATAGTACAGCACATAAACTACTGAACTGAACAGGTGTATTCAGATAAGGAGCAGGACAGCTACCTGTACACGTACTCTGGGATATGTTATGACATATTGTTGGCATCCTTCGCTCTCATGAGTCCATGGATTTACACCTTAGAGACAAACCGCTCTAGAGCTGCTGTGGCTGAACAATCCAGTTACTCTAAAGTCTTGAAGTGTCTCTCTCCACCCAGGTGAATAAAATGGTACTTCATCGATATACATGCAAACTGCTACCTACATGTAGGACAACATAACAAAAAGCTTTGGAAGGGGGAGGGAGGGGGTGTAAACTGTGATGGACTAGCACCCCATCCAGGGTGAGTGGGAATACTGCTAGTGGTTTCATGCCAGTCTTACCCACGTTGGGACACGTGAAGTCTGATAGGAGCATACATGTAAGAGTGTCAGGATTCTTAAACATTTGCCAAATACTGCTAATGTTCTTCTTATTTTCACCCTAACTCACCTGGTATAACAATGTCTCCAAGGCCCAGCATGGCAAAGTTGGATGCAGATAATCCTTTCTCAAGAAGATCCATTGGAAAAATCACTGCAAATGAGCAGGGCATTAATTCAGTCATACATGCTGTACAAATGAACATGTACAGTGTATATGAATTCTCCTTACAGATCTCCATTCATTTCTTCAATATTAGTTGGGGGAGTTACAAAATGCTCATCCTTAGTTCTCACAACTTGCATACAAGTTTTGGGCTTGTTATGGGGAAAATATTACACATAGTTGTGGTGTTCAGGGTCTACGTGCCCAATGCAAATTACATCAGTGACTTAAGGCTGAGTTAACACTGTAAGTGTCAATATTGTGAACATAAACACACGTTATGAACTACCAGTACTGTTAGGAATAGATAAGCAAGCCTCAGAAGAGTGCCAAAACCAAAACGAAGAGCCAAAACATACATGTATGTACATTAACATGTACATGTAGATAGCTTTGTATATTGTATTACAGTAGCGTGTAAAGTCGTGTCCAGTAGTCTGGGGCCTACCTACCCAGCACCCGTGGCATCAAAATCATATTACATATGTACATGTACAGCTTACATTTGATTGGTGCTTCAAATGACTTGGCAACAGTTACCATAACATCTGTTCCAAACACCTGCAATATCAATTCGACCAATGTTAAAAGAAAGCAACAGAGATAGAGCAATAGCATATTAGTTGCTTGCAGATTAANTGTATTCAGATAAGGAGCAGGACAGCTACCTGTACACGTACTCTGGGATATGTTATGACATATTGTTGGCGTCCTTCGCTCTCATGAGTCCACGGATTTACACCAGAGAGACAAACCGCTCTAGAGCTGCTGTGGCTGAGCAATCCAGTTACTCTAAAGCCTTGAAGTGTCTCTCTCCACCCAGGTGAATAAAATGGTACTTCATCAATATACATGTAAACTGCTACCTAGGACAACATAAAAAAAGCTTTGGAGGGGGGAGGGAGGGGGTGTAAACTGTGATGGACTAGCACCCCATCCAGGGTGAGTGGGAATGCTGCTAGTGGTTTAATGCCAGTCTTACCCACGTTGGGACATGTGAAGTCTGATAGGAACATACATGTAAGAGTGTCAGGATTCTTAAACATTTGCCAAATACTGCTAAAGTTCTTCTTATTTTCACCCTAACTCACCTGGTATAACAATGTCTCCAAGGCCCAGCATGGCAAAGTTGGATGCAGATAATCCTTTCTCAAGAAGATCCATTGGAAAAATCACTGCAAATGAGCAGGGCATTAATTCAGTCATACATGCTGTACAAATGAACATGTACAGTGTATATGAATTCTCCTTACAGATCTCCATTCATTTCTTCAATATTAGTTGGGGGAGTTACAAAATGCTCATCCTTAGTTCTCACAACTTGCATACAAGTTTTGGGCTTGTTATGGGGAAAATATTACACATAGTTGTGGTGTTCAGGGTCTACGTGCCCAATGCAAATTACATCAGTGACTTAAGGCTGAGTTAACACTGTAAGTGTCAATATTGTGAACATAAACACACGTTATGAACTACCAGTACTGTTAGGAATAGATAAGCAAGCCTCAGAAGAGTGCCAAAACCAAAACGAAGAGCCAAAACATACATGTATGTACATTAACATGTACATGTAGATAGCTTTGTATATTGTATTACAGTAGCGTGTAAAGTCGTGTCCAGTAGTCTGGGGCCTACCTACCCAGCACCCGTGGCATCAAAATCATATTACATATGTACATGTACAGCTTACATTTGATTGGTGCTTCAAATGACTTGGCAACAGTTACCATAACATCTGTTCCAAACACCTGCAATATCAATTCGACCAATGTTAAAAGAAAGCAACAGAGATAGAGCAATAGCATATTAGTTGCTTGCAGATTAATTTACCATACATGTAAATGACAAAAGTGCACAGGTCTGGGTTGTTCAAAAGAAATGATGAACACAAGGTGTTGTTTTAAAACAACAGATGTGGATGGGCAAGTTTTATCACAAAGAGAAAGGTTGGACAAGAAGATATTTTCACTTAGGATCACAAAAACAAGGGCAGACAAAATGCTGTACGTACATGGCAATTAAGATCAAAATTTTAAAATATTTTCCTATCTGGTTCAACTAATTCAGCCGATAAGCACATCATCAAAATTTTTGGACTCTAAAATATCTCACAAATGGCTAATTGAACATTTTGTACACAAAATGACGGTTTGTGCACACACCTGACATCTATACTGCAAATTAAATTTAATAGGAGGCATTGTGGCATCAAACTGGTTCTTCTTGAATAGCCCAAGCTGAACACTGTGTGAAGCCATTTTCTATGGAATACAGCACCAAAAGTTGCTGTAGGAATTGTATCACTGGTACATGTACTGTACTGACCCAAAATATGTCATAGACAAAGAGTCCTCCCAGAAGAATGCAGCCAGTTGTTACTGTGTTCAAGTGAAGAAGTTCAACTCCATTGAGAGAAAATGCCAAACCAAATATGTTATTGGCAATCCAGTGCTAAAGGAACAAAAAACAATATAACAGAATCAGTGTCACTTGATATTGTACAGTCAAATACCACAT